AATCTTAGTGAGGCTGTCATTTACACATGATAAACAGTAGAAAGATTAGAACAAAGGTTTGAATCCAAAGTCTAAGAATTTAACCACTATCTACTACAATGCGTATTATGAATGAGAAGTGACTGCAAACAAAAAGACATGTTTGAAATACCAAATCTGTTTTATTTGCTGATGCATATTCAGTGCCTAGCACAGTGCCTAGTACATAAAAACCCCTCAATAAATATTTCTTTAATTTTTAAAGAAGTTAGCATAGTCCCTATTAAGCACCTAATAAAAACAGTATCGATGGTGGTGATGATGATGATGGTGATGTCAAAAAAAGTAGGGGAAGGTAAAAAGGTCAACCATTTGAGATTTTATCATGATGTAGGACACAATGGAGTTTCCAACTCTCATGAGATCACACTATAATGATAGTATTCACATTAAGTAAAACTAACAGAAACAAAGGAAATGCTGTTGTAATAGTCTACATGAAGGTTTATCATAGGTATATATTAGATTAAAACCCAAATTCTGTGCATCTCATTTCTTTTATTTCAGATTCATGTTTAAGGAAAATGTAATAAATGCTAATAAATATATATATCTCAATGGTAATTTTTCTCATCATCCAATCCTTTGTTTCAAACTTTTTTGTTTCACTTTTCTGTTTATTTCCCTTTTAAAATTAACAGTGAACTATGAACTTAAATTAAAAGTTAAACAGAACAAAAACTTTTTCATGACTTCTGAAATATATTAGCATAAATCTGAAAGATTTAAGAATTTCATAAAGATAAAAATAATCAAATATTAATATTAGCTATAATTCACTGAGTACCAGTTATATCCTAGGTGCCTCTATACCTTGTCTCTAATCCTTAAAATAATCTGGTAAATTAGTTAATATTTACATCTTACATGGGAGGAAGTAAACCTGGAGAGGCTAAGTAACTTGCCCAAAGGCACATGGTCGGTATTAAGTGTCAAGACTGTGACTTGAACTTTAGTCCATCTGATTCCAAGGCTTATAGTCTTCCCATTGTTTCAACCTGTCTCACAAAGTACTGGGAACATTTTGTTTTATGCGGTTTTGATTATACAAGATTCTTATTCTTATAAATTATACAATCAGCTGGGGAGACAAGTTGGACTAACATATACATAAGTTACATAATAAAGACATAAAAGTAAAAAAGGGAGAAATCTGAAGGACAAGAAAAGTGGCACAGGTAAAATGGCAAGATCTGATCAAAGCCATCACATGGATTTCATAAGATGTTGGTTTATGTAATCTTTATGTGTCGAACCTATCACAGGAATTATTTTAAGATTAGTGAGCAAGTAACTTAAAACAAAATCACATCTTTTAAAAGTAACATTACTTTTTCTAATACTAAATCACTGCAGAAAACCTGAAAAGGCAGAAAAAATCCTGTTAATTGAAGCATTTATACACCCATTAACACTATTAAAGTTTGACTCTCATTTTATATTATATACATGTGTATATAGTTTTTTAACAAAAATTATAAATACAGCTTCCCCCTACTTCTTTCACTTAACTTTAATTCATAAAGTTTTTTCATATCATTATTCTTTAAAAACGTTTTTAAATTACTGAACAATGTCTCATACCATAAAGATACCTGAATTTATTTAACCATTGCCTTATTATTCTATTCTTATTATTCTATTGCTATCATAACTTATACTGATATGAATATTCTTATATATATATATAAATCTTTACATTTAATATACTCAAAGAAAATGGCTATTTCCTTAGAATACCTCATATTTTAATTAACATTTTATTTGAAAAACCTATAGACATACATTTTTGTATCCTATTTGCAATTTCCAATGTTCAGATGTTTTAGCATGTATTTCTTTTAATGTGGAATATTTTGACTTTTAAAACATTTTATATTCTGCTTAAGTATACTATAATACTTGTATGTGTATGCACATTTGTAATATACTTTAGCAAATACATGTTTATTTTGAATATAAAATGAGCAGTGATAGAAACAAATATCCATGCTTGTGTGGATTCTTTGTTCTTTCATATGACTAAATAAAACATTTATCACATGTACTCATAGTACCATAATGTTCCTCTTTCTATGAGGGTAGTAACATACTTTTTTTTGTTACTGTGTTTAGCTTTTTGATTGCACTTACTACTGATCAGGTAGGAGATAAGCTTTTTCAAGATTAGCTTTTCTAAGATAAACTTTAAAAAAATTCATGTATAATGAGAAAATATGAAAAAGTTCAAGCGTTACCAAGAGTCAGTTTATAAATTTCCTGTAGTTTCAAACCAATGGATTTCTTAAACAATTCAGCTTTTTCTTTTGACGTATTATAATAATAATTCTAAGGTTAAAAGTAAAATATCTTCAAGTTTTTTAATAAGATAGAACTAAAACATTAAAAAGTAAAGATACATTTTGAAAATTTATACTTTAAAAAACTTAGGGGATTTAAATTTTGAGTCATTTTTTTCTTTTTTTAAAATTTATTTATTTTTGGCTGCATTGAGTCTTCGTTGCTGCACACAGGCTTTCTCTAGCTGCGGCGAGTGGGGGCTACTCTTTGTTGCGGTGCGCGGGCTTCTCATTGTGGTGGCTTCTCTTGTGAAGCACAGGCTCTAGGCATGCGGGCTTCAGTAGCTGTGGCACATGGGCTCAGTAGTTGTGGCTCACGGGCTCTAGAGTGCAGGCTCAGTAGTTGTGGCGCATGGGCCTTGTTGCTCCGCGGCATGTGGAATCTTCCCAGACTAGGGCTCGAACCTGTGTCCCCTGAATTGGCAGGTGGATTCTTAACCACTGCATCACCAGGGAAGTCCTTGAGCCATTTTTGTAACTAAATGGTTGGACATGTTTCTTTAGGATTGCTTAGCTCCAGAGAAACTATATAGCACTACTATTTTCATCAATTTAGGAAGCTATAAAAATATCCTAAACATCTTTCAAACATTCAACATTTATTGAAATAGTATTTTGTCATTAATGAGAAGAATTTGATGTTAACAAGAATCATAAAGCAATCAAATTCTTTCCATTTTATGCATGTGTGATTCATACTGTTTAGTAATAGGGAACCCTTAAATATATACCAATAAATAAATAGGTAAAGTGTATGATTAGCTATATTACACAAAAGCTTAAAGAGTAAATATTAATGCTTAATGTTCTTTCCCCTCCAAGAGATAAATGAGCTACGCAGATATATGAATTCATGATTTACAATAAATCACAATGGCCTAAATCTTATTAAAATACATGTTAAGACACATACAAAGTTAAATTATAATGTAAACACCTTAAAACAAATGTACTTCTTGTAATACCATTTCAGAGATTAGTATACATATTTGATTATAAAAAGCCAAGAAACTTCTAAATTGTTCTAAATTTATATTTGAATTATTCATTTTTAATATACTGTTAATTTTCCTTAAAATATATTACTCTCATATTTCCCCACTAAAAAAGAAACAAAAAATTCATAGTAGTTTAACATAATAGAAAAACAACCATCTGGTATTTGGCTGGAGTATTTATTTATGATCATCTTAGTTATATAGTTATATTTTCATGGTGATGTTCTACTTTGCACAGTAATATTTTGAAGACAGACAGTATCTGTTAATCATTTCTCTGACCTAAAACACCAGAATTCTTTCATATGCAACCACGTTAAGTGGTTTATTATTTTTAAAAATTTTTTATGTATGTATGTATGGCCGCGTTGGGTCTTCCTTGCTGCACGTGGGCTTTCTCTGGTTGAGGCGAGTGGGGGCTACTTTTCATTGGTGTGCGTGGGCTTCTCATTGCAGTGGCTTCTCTTGTTGAGAAGCACAGACTTCAGTGGTTGTGGCACACAGGCTTCAGTAGTTGTGGCTTGCAGGCTCAGTAGTTGTGGCTCGCGGGCTCTAGAGCACAGGCTCAGTAGTTGTGGCACACAGGCTTAGTTGCTCCCAGGCATGTGGGATCTTCCTGGACCAGGGCTTGAACCAGTGTCCTCTGCATTGGCAGATGGATTTTTAACCATTGTGCCACCAGCAAAGTCCCAGGTTAAGTGATTTATAAAGTATGATTATAACTTCAAACTAATCACAAAATACAATTACTTTTTAAAAGCATTCCAATTGACATAAAAATGTTAAAATAAGGGATCTATAAAATGCCTCTGAATGCTAATTTCTACTATTCTATGAAATATCTCTTTTCTTAACACACTAAAACAGTGTGAGGAAGAGAGTCACAGGGATAATATATAAACTGTAGAGAGGGAGAGACAGAGTCCATCAGAGACAACTGAGAATCACCTGATCATATCTGTAACACATCACAGATACATTTTACAAATTTTCTTCTTGCCATGACCTGTGAATGAAGACAGACTCCAAAACATTTCAGGCATTCATTTATAATCTTAAACTCTGGCAACCTTTTACCAGAAAACATTATCTTCAGGGAAAGATCTTTTCAGGGCAAACATTATCTTCATCATCATCCACGTCATCAGATGAAAATTAATTAACTGCACAAAACAGATTTTTGAATCAAATGTAGGTTTTCACTGGCAATGAATATATGACTATCTTCATACAAAGGAGAAGTATTTCCTCTCAACAAGCTAAAACAATAAGTGGTATGTGAACTGCTGGTTGAAAGGTAGAGGCACTGGTAATCATTATTTCCCCTTGTTTGTTCAGGCCCTTCCAACAAAACAAACAACCTTTTTGTGATTGGATTGACATGGTGTTAACAATGAATTTAATGCCCAAATCAGTATGAATACAGGTAAAGCTCTCACTAATACCAGTACCAGGATGTTAAAGCCACCTATTTTCTAAGCAGGCAAAAAAAAAAAGAAAGAAAGAAGACAGAGCTTTCCCTCCTTTGACAAATAAGCGAGTTTGCTACTATTCACCAAGCCACATCAGATAATAACCTTGTGTATGATTTTGAATGCCGTATGTTAATACTGATCTACCATACCTGCTGTTTTTTCAGCAATTTGAGCTTCTGTTGCTTTTTCTTGGAGTTCCAATTTAAGCTTTAGTTTTCTCTGTTCTTCATCTTCTTTAGTCAGTTTTTCTTGAAGCTAAAACACATTGAAATAAACATAGATTCTTACTAATAAATTTCTTGCACAAATATAATTAATCCCAAAGATAATTTTTGCTTTTCTCTAGACCCTTATAGAATAACTGTATTAACTTACTGAATACATAACTCCAGGGGAAAAAAAAATTTAAGGTTTTAAGATATTTTATAAAATAATAATTACCTGAAATGACATAGAAATTATAAAAACATTTTAATATATACTTAATTTTATGTGTGTGTATAGGCAAATGAAATTAAGGAAGGAAGAACATTATTATTAAAAATAACTACTGCAGCAAAAAGCAATCTGATCCATTCTTTTGTCTTAAAGCAAAAGACTTGGAAGGGACTATCATAATAAAATAATGGGTAGCACAAATTATAGCTTCTCTTAGTAATTCTAATATTTTGAAACAAAATTAATTAAGATAATAATCTTAATATTTGATACAAATCTCCCTTTGAGAATGCTATGCCATCATATTCCATTTAAATTGGCATTGGCACCTGGCTCATAATTGGCATGTAATAAACAGCTGGTAAATGAAAATACAGAAAATATCTCAGACTTTCATACAGGATCCCTCCAAATGTTTTCTTTTTAATTTCTCCCTCCATTTATGTCATTTATGCTGTTTTCCGTCAGACATGATCAACATTCTTAACATCATGCTTCAGTTTGATTAGGTCAAACAACTAGAATATTAGAATCAGAAAAGTATGTAGAGGTTAAAAAAAAAGAAGGCAGGCATAGAAAACGAACATTATTTAAAGCTCAAAGGAATGTAACTAGAAAAAGAGTCAAAAAAGATAAAACATGACATGACAAATTGGATTGGACAAAATGTAGCAGTATAAGATAACACAAGGTAAATGACAATATTTCCAAGCCTTGCTACTTTAAAGTTTACATATATTATTGAGATGAAATACAGGGCACAGGTACTACTAAAAAAAAGAAAAAAAAGTTAAGAAAGTAACATGAAACCAATGAAGTAAAATTTGAATTTTTTAGGTACCACAGATCTATGAAAAAGGAAGTGATATTGCAAGCCACCAAGGCAGGAAACCAAAGAAATTGCTTTTCACAGCTCATGTCTCAACTCAATCATACCGTGAATGGCATGGTATGGCAACAGCATAAAGCTACTGTTAAAGGATTAAAGTACACAATAAAACTGAATTATGATGAGTGACAAAGCAAACTTAGAAGGTCAATAGCTAAAAGTATACTGTACAATCATCAGACTTCCTATATTGTACCTTTTTATTGCTTGCTTTGAGAATGTCCAATTCTTTGAGAAGCAATCCTATTGTCTCCTCTTTATTTAAGTCTGAAGTAACTTGACAAGGAATCATACATTTGTAATGCAAATCATTATTTCTATGTTCCATAATGCTGTAATAAAGAAAACTATTAAAACAATATACATATAATTTCAACTATATAGGATCTATACATTTTACACTTCAAATGGGGGAAACATTTAATTTTAACAGTAAGTATGTAAAGTTACTTAATTTAAATTTTTTCTTGTTATGCACTGTTAAGAAAATACTATGGATGAAAAAGACTAAACATTGCAATTTCACAGAGGTGCTAATATACAATACATCACAGAGGTGCTAATATATCAATTTCACAGGGAGAGCTAAATCTGTGAAAAGTATTTAGTAATGTCTAGAGATTCATGGTTCAGTATACTTAAAGAATGCAGTTTTTAAGGGCTTGTGAATATTAATTCAATTTGTACTTCTTGTCAGGACTCTAGATACATTTCTTACTTTTCTGAAAATAGGAACAATAAATATTTTTTCATTATAATTGACGGAATATCATATTTTCATTATTAAATTCGCAACATTAAAAATGAAAACCTATTCCTGTAACCTTTAAGCAAAAAAAATTTTTTTACAATGTGTATGCTATTTGAGAACAATATTAACTTGTTAGCAAGTACTATAAAGGAAGGGAAGGGAAAAGAGATGATCTCTTTTAGCCTAATCTCTATTATTTACTTTTCCCACGTGGTTATAAAGTTTATCACCTCTTCATTCATCCCTACTCCCCAAAAATGTACTCCAAACTACACTTTGATAAGAATATAACTGATTGCCAAGAAAGTGGAACATATTAATATATCCACTTCATTATATATTAATATTCATTAATATAGTAATTTCATAATTTTTAAGTAAATAGAAATAGCTATTCCTATGTAAAACTCCGTTAAAAAGTATTCCATAAAATATGATTTTTGTCTGGACTGAAAACATAATATTTATATTTCAATATAGTTATAAATTATATTAGTCATTGAGAATCTTTAAATTTAGCAGTATTTTCATAGTACATGACTAATTACCAAAGTGCTTTTCTCCCATAGGTAAAAGTCACAGGTGTCAAAATTCAAATCCCTTCATGAAATAGGTAGCTACATAAAGTGAATGGGTAGAAACTACAGAATGTAAAATAATAAGGAAGGTAAATGGGAGAGTAGACAACCCTTCCCAAAGCATTCAAATTCATTTAAATGAAGAACAGCGCTGACCAAAATCAAATCATATCTTTGGGCTTATTTTGTCTTGGAGCTGCCAGGTTATAGCTCTGATGAATAATATCCCATGTAATATCAACTTAGTAGCTATTTCCAGATCCTTAATGAAAGGTCACTTAAAATAATATTCAACAAAACAATATAAAACCTCATGACCTTCATTCAAACTCACCTTGTGCTTTTTCACTCAGTGATTTAGACACATTATATTAATGTAATGAAAATAGTAGAGAACTCTAGTATTAGATTCCTCAAATTCTAGTAAGTTAATGATATGTCAAATTTAGGCCACATCAAAAAGAAGAAAGGGAGGGACAGAGAGAGGGAGGAAGGAAGGAAGAGTTCTCCCAATTCTTACTTTCTAAATCTAAGGCTGCTAGCACTCACTTGGACTTTTCTGTAGTGCAGTAAGCTGTCTCATCACCTAGATGAGGACTGATGACTTGAAAATTCCTTGATCTCTGCTCTGGCGATTCTATGCCCTCACATGTAGCTTCATTAACTAATTCATTGGATTTCTGATGCATGCTTCCCTTAGAATTCACAGGCAGTTGCTCATCTGGCTGTGTACTTTTGTTTCTCCCCATGGTCTCTTGTTCAAGATAACCATGGGTTACGTCTGCATTTAAAACAAAACAAAAACATGAGATATGAAACATATCGTTACATATTAAATCAATCATATTAAATCAATCAAATGAATATTTTTGTGGAAATAAGAGCTCTCACAGCTTTAAATATGCACTTACTAACCTTACTCCTATTGTTATCAGACAAACATGTACAGGGTGATTTTGCCACAAATATTTCCATTTCCACAGTCAGTGGGCATTTAGGACAGTGGTTTACAACCTTAAGTGCACATCAACTGAGGAGTTTTTAAAAATCCTCAAGCTCAGGCCACATCTTCTACTAATTAAATCAAAATCTCTGGGAGTGATCACGATTCCAGTATACAATCAAGGGTGGGAACCACTGACTTAGAAGTTATTATTTTCTACATTAACTTTTCTTTGCTAGATTTTGAAAAATAGGATGCAATAAGTTAACTGATTACAGTGAAATGATAATGTGCATGGAATTTGGGTATTGGACTGAGTTAAAATTCTGGTTTTGCCAAGCACATAACTTTGGGGAAATTACTTTACCCTTCCATACCTCAGATTCTGGTTTGCAAAATGGACACATAACAGTACTTACTTGAGTTGTTGTAAGGATTAACTGAATTAAGAATTAACGAATGCAAAGTGCCTGGCCTAGTGTTTGGCACATCAATAAGTGTTAGCTATTATTTTTGTAATCATCATCATATAAAAATGGAAATAATATAAGGAGAATTATTTTTAACTTCCATTTTATCAGATATGTATTATACACTACAGTATATTTTGTAATGCCTGGCTATCTCATAAATATTAGTTATTTTAAGCAGTAACTAGTAAATAATAGCTATTTCAAAGGAAGAGTATATATCTGATGTTACAGTGAAATTCTGGGGAGAAAATGACACACAAGCAAGTACACAAAACAAACTCCTTCAACCAGTAAATCAGATCAACAGGCACAAATACTGATTGTAACTAGGACTTTTATTATTTCCAACAGAAATAATTCTTCAACTTTTAAAAGCAGGTGAATCTCATGAATCTCACCTACTTGTTGATGATGCCTTCTTTAACTTGACAAACTTAAAATCCCTTTGAGGCAGAAGAAGAGTAGTTTTAGAGTAAAAACAAATGGGAAACATAAATAAGGTACTCATTCTTTAGGAAGAAATTCTTTGCTTACATATATGCTGAAATTAGGTAGAGCCAGTCATAAACTCCAAGTCCTGGACATTATCTTATTGGTGGCTGAATGCTAGATCAGAAACCATTCATTTTTGGTCAATTACTCTCTATTTCCCCGTGTTTGTGGGAATAAACTGGGAGAAAGTGCTATCATAATTACATACTGTGATGTATCTATGAAATTTCATTATATTTTGTTTTAAACTTTAACAAATATAGGTATCTGAATATTATTTGTTGATTCTTGACATTTCAAAACACTTAATTTGGGCTTCCCTGGTGGTGCAGTGGTTGTGAGTCCGCCTGCCGATGCAGGGGACACGGGTTCGTGCCCCGGTCCGGGAAGATCCCACATGCCGCGGAGTGGCTGGGCCCCTGAGCCATGGCCGCTGAGCCTGAGCGTCCCGTGCTCCGCAACGGGAGAGGCCACAACAGTGAGAGGCCCGCGTACCGCAAAAAACAAAACAAAACAAAACAAACACTTAATTTGCTTTAGATATTCATCATGCTACTTTTCTAGAATAGGCTGGTATTAGTGCCCCCCAAATCTGAATGAGGTATTATAAAATTTTATAAATGGACACTAAGGAATACCACTATCATTAACAGGCCATGCTTTTTTAACACTAACATATAACTTTATAGGCAATTCAAAGAAAAAAAATTATAAATAGTTATGGAAAACAGTATCAAAATAACAAAAGTTGTCTCCAGGGGCATATCAGAAGATAACTATTAGGCTCTATGCTATTCTCCAGTTTATGAGGTACAAAGATTCTCCAAAAGGTAAAAGGATAAGCCAAGGAGCACTGCCAGCTAGAAAAAGCCCCCAGTTCCCCATGACAACACCTTATCAATTGCTTCAGAATCTTAAGTCTTGATTCTGTGACCTGTTTTTGAGACCAAACTTACCATTATCTGCAACTTGTCCCATGTTTTCAACTCTCTATTTCTGGGTCTAGTGCAGCATCTCTCTTCTTTCAGTTTTTTATTTCTAACCTGTGAGTGCTTACTTTACCCCATCCCTGATAACTATATTGTTATTTGGTTACTAGATTTACAGCTCTCTTTCTCACTTCAGCTTACCTAATGTCAAATTTCATGATCCCTGAACTCTTGGTAAATCACTGTCTTTTATCCTGTGACTGCAGTATATTCTCCAAACTGAGAGCAGACATGGAACCTTCCCAATAAGAGGGCTCTTTACTGATCCCTCCGGTATCCTACTAATTATAACCCCCTGAAGTATTATCAAAATAAACTCATCAAGTTCTAACACACTTCTGGACTTTAATGTTAAATGTTTAATATTTTTGAAGAATTCATACTGTATGATTTGGCTCCATTTCTGGATGTTTCTATCCTTGCTCTGTAGCAAAAGCTTTTAGATTCCTAACTGAAACTGTTCACCAGATATTTGGAACCTGCTCTACAACTATCCATACTCTTCCACTGAGAATTTAATTTTACTTTAGAGTAAACAAAGCTGATTTATAAAATTTTCCTTCCGGTCTGTTTTTTGGACGCTCTACTGGAAGACTATGGAAGATTTCACAAAGGCATTTGTTCCAAAACAGGACAAGCAGAAATATGCAAAGTAATGAACTGTCAAAGAGTTTGAGCTTGGTGAAGTAAAGAGAAAGTTGACAGACTATAAGAATAAGACAACAGGAAGAATGAGCACAGAAGAGAAGAAATAGCTTTAGGAAAAACACAAAGACATTTGTTGTTCTGGAAGGACAAGATGCTATAGTTGAGGAGTGAAAACTTGTAAAATGAGTAACACTGTAATGACGAATTCCAAGATGTGGTAGACCTGGGAATGTGTTGATTAAATAGATTGATGATGAAGGTACTTGGAGAGGAGGAAATCAAGGTATCAGGGTACAGGGAGTGCCATCTTTCAAGAAACTGAAGTCATTCAGAAAAATGGCAAGAAATGGAGAGGAGAAATGAAAGACAAATGCAAAAGACTTCACTGACTGCATAAACATGCTAAAGAAGACAGAGCCAGATGAGAAAGCTGACTGATGTTAGTTAACAGTCATTTCTTTCTATCTTTTTACTTTGAAATAATTCCAGTCTTATAAAAAAGTTGCAAAAATAGTACAAAGAATTACTATACACCCTTCATCCAGATTCCTCAATGTTAACATTTTACCACGCTTGCTTTATTATTTATTCTATGTCTGTCTACCTACACATACATAATTTTTTCTGAAACATTTGAGTAAGTTGCTGGCATGAAACACTTCGACTTTTCAAGTCAAATTTTAAGATACTGCTGTATCACACTTCATTTTACTAAATTTTCTTTATCTTATTCACAGCTCAACTTAAATTCAATTTCTGAGTTAGTACCTCCTCCAACTAAGAGAATACAATAGTATTTAGTTACTCTAACTCAGTCTTCAATTATTTTTCCTAAACTCCAGTCCCAGAAGAAGGACTTTTGTCAAGTGATAACAGGATGATGCCACTAAAAGCTTTAGTTGAGATGTTGTATTACCCCATCACTTGAAAGAAAATTGCATTAGAAATATACCAATAAAATGCAACAAAAAGTGAAGTTATAGGTCTGTTCCATACACTATTCGAATAGAAAGATAAGATAAATGTTTTAAAGAACAATTCACTTCTGATTCAAATTCATCTCTAAGCAGATGAAAGTTTAAACTAAAACTATTCTATTGATTGTTCTCTATCTCTCTCATATGGTTTGAAATGGAAACTCTGTAACTTTCTTTAGTAATTTGCTTCAGTGTTGAATCAATGTCATTGTTAATTGTTCCATCATTATGACTAACAGAATTAATACTATTTAAATTCATTTCTCCATAGGAACTTATAGAATAAGTTATTAATCTCTTCTTCATAATTCAATGAAATCTAACTTTCTTTTCTCAAATAACAGGAAATTTTTTATGACAACTATCAATCCCTTTATTTATTTGCTCTTCTGCAGGCACACTGCATTATTTGGACATAAGAATTTTAACCACTTCAAACCAAATATATTCCCCAATTTTTGCTATTATTATTTAATGCTATCACTGCCATGTAAACCTATCCTGTGACCATTTGAAAATGATGTTATGGAAGATTATTACTCACTATTCCTCAAATGCCGCCTACTGCTACTGTTAGAGACAGTTTATTCATCTGGGCAAAGTGGGTAAATTTAGTAAAGACTTTTTAGAATCCTAATACTTAATACATGTGCCTAGGCCAGCTGTATTATATGCTTTGAAGACCCTGTATCTCCCTAGTGACTTTCATACTGTTTCCAATGGATCATTTTCAAGATCTAACAAATTCTCCCTTTACTCCTGGAGGTATTACTATTGTCAACTATCCCAATGTTAGCGTTGCTACTAAATTCTCAGTTCCTTAGTCTAGAAAATTAACAGCATTATACTATTTCCTAACCTAGTAAAGAAAGCTTTAGGATCCCTTTTGAGTTCAATTCTCCAGATAATTATACATTAATGTCAGTTAAACTGACTGAATTGAATTAATTGAATATACTCAGTTAAATTGATGCTACCCAAGAAATCATAACTCATGGCCAAAAATAACTGTTACTTCACAACTACTATATAGAAGTGAGGAGGTGGCTAGAATCAAATAGGGATTCTTAGAGGCTGGGGAATTTTGTTCTGTCTGGCTTTGTAAATAGTTTGTGACAACTGGTATCTGTGTAAATGGATTTGATGGTCCCCTGTGGGGTCAATACTGTTTACAGAGCTGTTTCTTCAGAGTGGTTGAGCTAGAATTGTCTCTAGGGATCCTACAGGGGTTACTCAGAATAGCAACATCTCAGGTACCT